TTGCATCCACTGAATATTTTCCCTTTATTTCTTCTATTCATTTGCCGCTTATCAGTGCATGAACAGCACTGAGCAAGCTACGTGTGTAGTTTTCCTTAACAATGGCTGTTCCATCAGTTTTACATACCTTGACATATTCATCTAAACACAATATACCGTATAAGTGGAAATTTTATCGATTTAGCGATTTCTCCTTAAAAATTGATAATTTATTTTTAGCGAATTTAAAATCCTTACTTAAGCAACTATTACAAATAAAATGCAATTAATTTTAGCGGTATTCAATGTTAGCGATCCATTGACCCTCGCTAATAATGCCAAAACTAAATCCTCGCTAAAAATTTTACTTATACGGTAATAAACAAATTTGATTTTTACTTTGAATGATTTCTGATATATAAATAAAAACAATAAAATGCTTTTTTTGTCACTACAAGAATTTACGTCGCAGCAATTGCAGAAACAAATTACATAAGAGACCTTTTTAAAAACGTCTGCAACCTTTGTAATTATGCATTAATAATTTAATTTTATTTGTATTCTCGCCTCTCATTGGTTGATTTCCAAAAAGGAACGCATAACATTTTGTATAATCTGGTTTGGTATGGGGACACACCCCCTTGACGACCAGCTTAATCATCATATCCATGCAATCCCCTCATTTCCAGTCCTCGGAATCCATGGAAAATTCCAGATTTAATAAATGTACCTTCAATTATAAACAATTACTCGTTCTTACCTCATGTAAACAAACATCATGGCTGCTAGATCTATGTATCAGTTATTACCTCCCCTCGCTTCAAATTACTTCCGTTACTACGGTTGTATTATTGCGCGGTAAATTTGAACTTATAAAAAGCAACACAATTTTACATCAAAAGTTGTTTAATTATTTTAAAATTAAATTATAAGGAATGACTCTAATTCTTGGCCATATTATCGCGTATAATCTGGTTTGGGTCAGTTTACGCTTTTTTATAATCCGCTTCGCGGATTATAAAGCGTAAACTGACCCAAACCAGATTATACTCGATAATATGGCCAAGAATTAGAGTCATTCCTTAAATAATTTGAAAAAAAAAACATTTTCTTTATGTTTTCAGTTTTTTACTGGAAAAAAATCCTCATTGATACTCTGACGATTGTAGAATAATGCTGATTTTTAGACGGCCAATGCAAGTTTTATTCCTTGCTTGCTGATGATGATCCTTGTTATGTGTTTTTAAAGGCTTACTTAGAGACTGATGCATTCTATATGCTCCTATATGCTCATACTTAATTTGCTAATGCTGGTGCTGATTTATGTCCGCTTACTGCACTCTAAGTTAATATGTGACGTAACATTTATGAGGGGGTTTCAGCAGAGATACTCTCTTTTTACTCCTTTTAATGAATATAAATTAAATACTTCATTAAAAAAATATTTTAGTTTCCTGGTTAATTGAATGTCGACAGACATCATTAAAATTCAAAACAGAACGTTAGTAAAGAATTACCCCTGATTATTCCTTGTTACTTTTGATATATTATAAAAAAAAAATAAGAGAATTTTTAAAACTTGGTAAATGAAATCTAATGCGCTGATTTACGAAATAATAGGAGAACAAATAATGCATAATAATTTAATTTTGCTTGTATTCTTGCCTCTCATTGGTTGATTTCCAAAAAGGAACGCATAACATTTTGTATAATCTGGTTTGGTATGGGGACACACCCCCTTGACAACCAGCATAATCATCTTTATCCCGCTTCAGACAAATTTGTCGATTACTGATTGGATAAAAGCTAATAACATGACGCCCTGAAATTTTCCGTATTACGTCTCCGTTTCCATATTACGTCTCCGTCGAGGCGTAATATGAAAATCGGGCACGCGATTCCGTTCGAAGCGTTGTTATTGTAAATAAAAATGGCGGCTAAGAAACGGTTAATGTAGGTAGTTTAGTTAAATTTCTTGTTACCGTAACGATATTTTATGTTGATTGTTATTGGATTAAAACTAATATTTTCATAATATGCACAAATATTTTTTTTATATGGAAAAAGGTCTTCAGCGGGATAAATTCGTTACACAGTCAGTTAGTGACCTAATACGGATTCATACAGGGTGTGAAATGGAAATTCGTATTCGCCTCGCCCAATACGGATATCCATTTCACACCCTGTATGAATCCGTGTTAGGTCACTAACTGATTGTGTAACTAATAGTATCCATCAATCCAATCATTTCCAGTCCTTGGGATTCATGGAAAATTCCAGATTTAATAAATGTACCTTTAATTCCAAACAGTTGCTCGATCTTACCTCATGTAAACAAGCATCATGGCTGCTAGATCTATGTATCAGTTTTTACCTTCCCTCGCTTCAAATCACTTCCGTTACTACGGTTGTATTATTGCGCGGTAAATTTGAACTCATAAAAAGAACACAATTTTACATCCCCAGTTGTTTAATTATTTTAAAATTAAATTATAAGGAATGACTTTACGCTTTTTTATAATACGCTTCGCGGATTATAAAAAAGCGTTAATTTGGGTCACGCTTTTTTATAATACGCGCGGATTATAAAAAAGCGTAAACTGACCCAAACCATAATGCAGGCATACTCAGGACTCTGATCATTAATTTACTGAATAAGAACCAATGCTTTGGTGAACATGTAATGGGAGAACATTTATTTAGTAACGATCTACAAGCGGTCGCATGTCGCTGTGTTTCTGTGCCACAAGGTTGAAAATATTCAATTCCGCTACCATCTCTTGATAGGTAGTTTATTTAAAAATAATAGATCAAGAAGTTGTTTTCCCTAAAAGAAGACTGGAAAAGGTGGATCATAGGCATGCTTCACTGATCAAAAATATCCAAAAAATCTTTATTGTAAAAAAAAATCTATGTCACTGTTGTGAGATTTTATTTGTCATTTTGAAACGTATTTTTTCAAAAAAATTTATGTAAATAGCTATAATTCCTTCCTTCCTGAGCAAGGTGTCACAATAACCGCCAGTCTTTAGCGTTGGAATATTATAGGTATACTGTGTCACAATTTAATGTAAAGGAATATTTGCTGTGGAAAATTCAGAGTACAAATTATTTTTTTAGCTTTAGGTACAGTAATACTGACTAGTTAGGGAAGGCATTATGCTGGAGATAGAATACATCAATATGTAAGATGAATACGAAATATCAGGCAACAGGAACGGAGGAGTAGGGCTAATTGTCCAGTATATTCTTTTATATTCGTAAGAATTTAGTACAAGCTTAGCAAACACGTACTTCAAAAACATCAGAAGTACGATCTTGTGCCATAGAAGAGTGAATATCCCCTGTGTCGACCGGTCATATTCGCCGTGTTTTCCTTGTCATGACCAGGAATGAGACATATGAATATAGAAAACAGTATTGAAGATCAAAAGTTCATTAAAAAATACAAAATCGGAGCAGAGCAAACATGGACCTCCAAAACATCAGAGGTGGGGTAAGGTGCAGTGAAGGAGTTACATATAGCTACCCGATGCCGACCGGTCAACCCGATATGTGCTCTTTTTCATCAACGAGGAATATTAGGAAATCTTTCGTCAATTCCGCGTGTAAATAATGGACTTATAATTAGTATGAAAAACGTCAGTCAGCATTTGACTCAATGATTTGTGTTTGCTGACAAGGTCATTGTATCCACCTATTCCGAAAACGTCTCTTTTTTGAACGATTCCGATCCTGTCTTAATATGTTCTAACTTTGATTGCTCAGCCATTTTGCAATTTTGAACGTTCAAATTTTGCAGGTTTGACCTGATTACTTCTGTCCACCTAATGATGTAAAATTCTTCCAGATTTCTTCAGAATTTTATAAAATACAAATGAAATTTATAAATTGATATATAATTTTTTGAGCAAAATTTTGCGGTGTTCCGGGTCTCCGTTCCAAGTTGAATTATGAAGCCATAATTGTAATTAAACATTTGAAATTAAATAAAATTTGACATTCTTCAATTCACATTTAGTAAAGGATTGGAAATATACCATTGATAAATATCAATGACACAACTTTTATTAAATTTTTAGCTTGTCCACGAACTTTATGGAAACCCTCGGATAGGTATCTGAAGCTTCTCCGAACCACATATTAGATACTACATCATGATAGCATATGACATTATGCCTTACAAACTTAAATGGACATTTACGGGATATATGTCATAATTTTGTAATCCTTTCACATGATTGATTATTTTCCACCGTATGTATTTATAATCGGTATTAATTTTAGCTTCGTTTTTCTGTTAAAATAATGAACGTTTTGGGGTGTGGAATTGTTGTTTCTTTCTCTTGCCTTGTATGTATAAATACGAACTATAGAAACAAGTGATAATTAATGATTATATTAAATATATTTTTTTGTTAATCTACGAAAGCCATCCAACAGGTAATGCAATGTACAGTAAATTAAATAGATTGAAGAAAAGATTATTAAATTTTATTTCATTTTCTTACACTGAAAGAATCCGATAAATAACATTTTAAAAGTCCATCAAATTAAGAAAATTTAGAGTCTTTGAATACCTTAACAAAACTGTTCACCTGGGTATATAAAAATTAAAAGACTAAAAATTTTTTCCGAGCTTGTTCTCAAGTGGTAATAATGCACAGAACATGTTTGCAATTCTAGTAATCATTTTAACGTCGTATAAATTGAAGAAATCATAAGTACCTATCAAGTGATCAGCTATGTTATGTGATTTAACAAATTAGAACAAGATTAGTAGTACATTTTAATCCTTTCTTTGAAAATAAATTGATCATGTAAATAAAGATTTAAGTCTCTAGTCAGCCATACCTAAGCTTCAACAATTATTCAACACCATCCTAAACTACATGTACAAACTACATTTACAAAATTATTCGGAGATTCCTCTGCAAAATCATGCATTTTACTCCCTCATATATTGGTCCTAATTGGTATAAAGAACAATTCTTGGATTATAGACAGAATTAACAATGTTCCTAGGCACGTTTAATCATCATTTTTGTTTCCGTCACATCTGCCCCATTTTCTATTTTGTCCTTCCACGGGTTATCCCAGGTCGCAGAAGCCCAGGGTCCATTGAGAAAGGCATAATGGCAATTGTTATACCACCAACCTCCTTTGTGAACTACGGCGCAGTGGCCGTTTTGCCATAAGTCGTTGTCTGCATCAGAGGTACTAAAGGACATTCCAGATAAAATGTAACCTGATTCCACTTGGTCTAAATATAACATCTTGTCACCTATAGAAAAAATAACAATGTTTCAAACGTAATTCGAATTATTATTGTCCGTAGTACTAAGAGAGTTTATGCATTCAAAATTGGCTTGAACCTAAAAAAAAATATCATGTAATGTATATATCATAAACAATCACTTGTACAGGAAGCCGTGGCATAGAAATAATGTTTAAACACTATGCTTAATTGCTTCGGTGAAAGGGCATACCTTACTTTGTTCTACAGAAACAAGGTATAAAAAAAGAAGAATATCCCAAGGGTCTTAGATAGTTTTGCACAAATGTCGACACTGCAATTGTTTGGTCACTACATTCGTAAAGTTTTAATTTGAAGCGGGGTAGACATTCACAGTCTAGTGTAAGTTACCTAAAATTTTTATCAATTAAGAAAGTGCATAGGATTTTGCAGCAATTTTATTAATTTGTAGAATATTCTCCTTAATATTATATATTATTGATTTTAAATTAAGTAGGATATGCCTCTGTCCAGAATCTTTTCCGTTGTTGATGTGTGTTTTTTACCTTGCATAAAAAAGAACAATATGACGTCATTATGAGACCTTAGCACCTTCAATATCATGTGGATACAAAGTATGATAAAAAAAATTATTTCGACATCCACGCATCCACTTATTTACTCTGAAATCGAAATATTCATCTTATGCATATTTATTATCTCATTTACATAGACACACTAATTATACCTAGCCTTTACTCACTTGCGTAAATATAAAAGTGGTGATACTCGAATTATTAGCCCAATAATTTGAGTCATTCTTAAAGTATAGAAAAAGGAAAAAAGAAACTCAGGGTAGCATGACTGAAAACTGTGAAGACTGGTCGGTTGAGAAACTTGGTTTCTATGCATAAAAATCTGTGTTTAGCATTAATCAAGCTTAAGATATATGACGTCACGTATGGAAAGCCCTAAAAAACCAAAGCACGTGCAAATTGATAATGATAAATTTGTCAACGCATTTTCATGTACCATATGAAGTACTTGATTTATATACAATATAACCAGTTTTCAATATTAACGGACGATATTATTGTCTTGCAATCTTGATACAGCTGACGGAAGTTCCTTATGATCTGGTGTGTGCATTGCCCATGTAAGAACAAAGTCTAATACGAATTGCTGTGCAGTTTCTTGTAAATCCCCAATAGCACGTTTAACCAGTCGTAAGAGACGACCTGAAATCAACTGTTCAATGACATTGACGCGTTAGGTTAAGATCGAGTTCTTCATCAAGCTTAACTGCCACCTTCCTACCACAAAACTGATATTAATACATAAGGCTATCATAATCAGTACATTCACTCAAATTGAAAGGAACCAATTGCAAGGTTTTGGCTTTGAACAAAAATTTGTCATGACTCTTGCAAACAATCTCATTCACCTTCTCTATTGGTTTCTGCTAACTATATTTTTTTTCTTATTGAATATTTGTAGTACTGATTTGATGATAGAGTTCCAAATATTCAAGTTGGTTACTGTCAATTAAGAGCTGCCTTGTTGATTTTAAATGTTTTATAAGAATATATTAAAAGTATACAAAAGGAAAAAATAAAAATCATTTAACCTGAATTTTACGTGCAGTTTCGTTTTCCTTTCAGTATAATTATAAACTTCAAAGATTTTAAAGTGTTTGTTTTTGATTTTGATATGTAAGTCTCAAATTATTTGCTCTCTCTCTCTCTCTCTCTCTCTCTCTCTCTCTCTCTCTCTCTCTCTCTCTCTGGAGAATGCGTTTGAAACACGTTTAATCATTCCTTTCATGTACCTAAAGTTCCTTCCACAGACCCTCGGAGAAAGAGTTTATATTTATTTTCTGCATTGGCCACGTAGAATTCTTCGTACAGCACATATAGTGGAAGGCCATCTGTTGTTATAGAAATATAAAGAGATGTCTTCTTGTCTTTTGTCAACTCGTGGATCATTTCATTTCCTGTAAAATGGAATGTCCACAATCAGCTGAAGAAAGTATAAAAATACAGTTAGGAAAAAATCACATTTTCGTTTATGACTTTTGTTGATAAGGACTGTCCGAAATAGTTATGTAACTTTAGGAAAATTCATTTAAATCCTTTACAGTTGACATTTTTTTAATTTGAAAGTCCGGAATATATGTTTTGAAAAAAAGTACATTTTCAGGAATATTTCCTTTATATTCCTATACAAGTAGATTTTTTTTTACATTAACTAATATGGGGAATTTTTCTTCACATTGAATTTGACTTTAAACTCAGTATTTCTCATCACAATGCATTTATATGACGTCATTTTATGGGAACAATAAAACGCTTGTAGACTACAGGCATAAGTTTAAAAACCTGCAGAAACCAAAAAAATCAGCTTAATGGACGAATTTGAGGTAATGTTATAAACAGTTGTAATTTTAAGTTATTTTTTGTGAATCATGTTTTAATTTTAGAAATAAATTTGTTAGGTTAAAATACTCAGTAAATCTTAGGTTTTATGTCACCGCCTATTCATCATACATAAAAAAAAATTAAGTCAGTACGTTACTACACCGTGTACGAAATCGTGTGCAAATCAACAGTCTTCTTTGTCTAATCGTAATATATATTACATGTATACACAAGAACTGTAGTAAATTATTTGTAGTCTTAATGTAATCAATTTCCACACAAACAATAATGTATTGTTGGTATATTTATGAATCTGTTCATTATAAACGATGTCATGCTTTCAATCGTACTATACAATCTACACCTTTATTTTATGAATTACTATTAAGGTATACCACACCTGAAATTTGTTAAATCAAGGATTTTTTTAGAAGTATATTTTGGATAAGTACTTATATAGTGTGACTCAAAATTGCAAAAAAAAAAAATAGAGGGTCAGTTACATCTTACTGATCTACAGTACAATTAAGTTGACCTTTTTGCACTTAATTTTTAACTCTTTGGTAAATTACTTTAACCTTTATCCTATTTCATCAGATGTAACTATGGCAATAAATACAATTTTATTTTACTTAAAATAGTTTGAATAATGTTTATCATTGAACAAATCTTGCAAATTAATGCGTGTAAATTATTGTGTGACCTTTTTGCACTAAGAAATAACAAATTTGGGAATTAAAAACTAAACATTTTCTTAAATCAAGCTTTTTTACGATTTAAGTGCTGATCAGTCACAAGTATCGAGTACTTATAAATAATGAAAGAAATAATGAAATATTGGTCAAAATATGTGATTTTCAGTCGAAAAATGGTATAAATTTTATCAAGAGTTATTTGACATATCTTCTTTTTTTTGGCAAAATTTGTTGAAAGAATGTGTAAAACTTGTTCTGAAAATATAAATTAAGACCTTCATTAAATATTCCTAGCAATATCATAAAGGAAAATATTCTCCGAGTAAAAGTATGTGAGACTAAAGTCTCATATACAGATTTGCAGAAGTATCTGCTAAATATCCTTCCGCCACAAGAAATAGTCCCTCATAAATCTTGCTGCTTTGTAGCTTTTTGAGTAGCTTTTTCGTTGAATGTTTAAACATTAACCTTGTTGAATTTAAATATGTTATAAAATTGAATTTCAATAAAAAGTTTTGAAGCAAGAGGATCTGCGTGAACTTTTCTAAAAGCTAACGAGTGACAAACTTTAAGAAAACTGGAAACATATACTTTTAAAAAAGTTGAATTTCGATTAAGTGTAGTGAACATAAATGCTTAAAACATTTCAAAACATGTCGTTACTGAAGGCCTCGAACTCATGGAAACTCTGGGATAGTTCAGTATTTTATGACCTTTGGAAGATATTTCTACCGCATATACTGTGGAATCATTTTTATTCGTGGGGGTCAATGTTCGTGGGTAGCCAAAAATTCCCTGGTTCGTGGAGACGTAATTTCGTTGGTAACAAGTTTTATTTAGTTTTTTTCTCCAAAGTTAAAATAAAGAAGGATAACTCCATCAATTTTGCTTATTTAAGTTATCTCTCTTGTGAACACAAAAATGTACAGACCAATTACAGCCCTGATGTCACAGTAAATAAAAATTATAATGAACATCAGCACTACTCCAAAAACGGACTGATAATTGACCTCATCAAATGTTGGAATGAAATGTAAATACTACTTAAATTTAGCAGATGTGTTTATTATTTTATTACTTAATGTATATAGTTATCGATGTCTTTGATACTTAATTTTTTTTTTGAAAATTATTTTGGTTTTGTGTCAATTACCACATACAGATTGTCTTCTTTATGCGCGATCACACTGACACTATGGTAACAGTTATTTTACAATATAAGATAAGTCTGTATAATCGTAACTTTTAACAAATAATAAAATGTGTTTGCATATACATTCGTGGGGATGTAAATTCGTGGGTCAGGGTAACCCACGAAAGCCACAACATTGGTCCCCCACGAACAGTAAGGATTCCACAGTAATAAAGCAATCAAAAAGATTGTGTTTGTTTCAAATTGAGTCTCATATGCAGGAAATCTATGGAAGATATCAGAACAAAGGATGATAAATTGGAGGCAACAGGGCATACCTTGTTCATATCGAAGAATCCGGATGAGTAGCGGTTTATAAAGAATGCGTCAAAGAATCCAAGGAAGAATTGGAAGATTAACTGTACATATAATTAACTGACAGTTTTTAATACGTTGTATTTTGTTATTAGATTTCAAAATTGTGATTATTCAAATATTTAAAAAGGCCAAAACAAAAAAAAAAAAAAGATTTGTCATTCTTTCTGTAGGACTGCACAAGAACATAAGAACATCATTTTCTTGCTTCAAATACAGATTTACACAAGCTAAATCTCTATTCCCTATTCATATGCATTAAGATTGTGTGTCCTGTATTGATAAGAAAATTACATACAAAATCTATGTATGCATAAATTATAACAAAAAAGACATATAACATTATAATTTCCTTAAGAGTCTGGTTTACGTCGGTTTTGGACAGTAAAATCTCTAGATTTTAGTCTTTGTTAGATACACAGCGGAAGACTTTTGGGTATGGAGGGATCGGAAAAGCAGCTTATTTTTGCTTTTAGAGCACTGAAGGAAATACTATGTCTTCATTTTTAGTCAAATTAAGCGAATTAAAAATTGAAAACTTTACGTACCTTCAAAGTTTTAAATACATTTCATGCTTCAAAGTTATAAGTATGATAAAATATAATTTAAAGAATATCGTTTATTATTTAATTTTTATTCATTGCAGATTTGTTTGTAAAGAATTCTAGCAGTGTCGGTATTTTATATTCAGTGCTGACGCTCCAGGATACAAGTTTGTAAAACGTAAATCCGATTAGGAAGAAACCAAATTCCTCCTCTTATACCAGGGACATAGTCTTTAGATGAATTACCTGTTCAGGCTATTCCCCCTTGTACCACAGAGGACAGACAGAATTATTGTTACTATTTTAACCACTTTAATTTTCAAAACCTCTCTTGAGACCATCGACTGAAGACCACAGACCTTCCCTGCTCCAGAAGAGTGAAAGACACGCGGTGCATTTATAAAAACGACGTCAAACTTGAAAACGTTGGGGAGTTTAGATGAGCATATAAGATAAAAACGATTAATCATACTATATTAGTATTTTCAGGAAACAATGTCTACAGTCTACAGTCATAGATGTGCGCATATAAACGTTCGACATATTTTCTCAGTGACGTCATAAAGAGTCGACGCGCGTTCAGTGGATTACATACATGCCTTTGGGTATAAAAAAAATAATGCATTTCACATGTTTAAAGTCACTATCAGGAAAATATAAAATATGAATAAGTAAAAAATGTAATAATATGTAAACATAAGTAAAAAGGTATCATTTTAAAACATCTATCGGGCTATCTATCCCGATAGATGTCTTAAAATGCTACCTTATTTCTTAAGTGTTCTCCTTATATGATTTAAAAGTCTGAATCACAGGGGCAACTTATCTGTTCTGATCACTATTTTTAAGAGAAGAATTGAAGGTAGCACAGGATTTGAAAACAAGGTTTAAAAATGTTACCTGAGAAAAAGTTTCCTTATATGCACTACCGCTAATGGTGTCCTTGTACTTATGCAGGTTAAAATTAAATCCAAATAAATTGTACGTTAGTATTTATTTTCCACTAAACCCCAGCTACCTGCAATTTTTGATACTTTTTGCTCAGGAAAAGATAATTCCACAACTTTTTTTCTCCATTAATTCTACATGCATAATATAGGTCTTCAATTTTAAAATAAAACTAAGTGCAGTAAATTTTAATAATACAATGACTCTTAAAATTTATTATCTTCATGTTTACAATAAGACAAAAAACAATTTCAGAATTTCACATGTTTCACTGCCGAATTTGAATTTACCACTATTGCTACAAAACGTTTCGGGAGTTTCCAAAAGACACCATTTTTTGTTAGTCTGGTTCCCTGTCTAATCCTTGCCAAGGCAGGATAGCCAAGTGGATTTCATTTGATGCTTTCCTTTGATAGGACAGAACAATGTGTGCTAAATCTGTGGTTTTGAGCCTAAACCGTTAACCTCGGAAATAAATATCGACATCACAATGAGACATTACAACGACGACGTCACAATAAAATTCTATACCGTAAGCATAGTGTACTGCACCAGAAGAGACTAAAATTCAGTACAGATTCGCCCTGATTTCATTTTAGTGCAAATGGTCCTAGTGACGCGGATCGAGTACATGAAGCAGGCTAAGTGTGCGAAGATAAGAGGCAGAAATTGAGCAATCAAATTTAATTAGAATTCTTACCAAGTTGTGTTTCTCTAAATATTCTTTTAAATACAGTCTGTAATGACAGTTGTTCTATTTACCTCCATAAACTCCATCCTTGGAGGGAGTTCATCTAGTTTTTGAGTTACCTTCTTCCTCTCCTCTCTGCCAATTTTTTCTTTGATTTTTTTTCAATTTAATAAAAGTCTATTTTCATGACTTAGGAAGATGACTAGGATGTAATTGTGTGAAAACTACAGAAATAAACTCTTTATCTTGATTTTGTACATAACTTACAATGATTTCAGTGTACGAGGGCCGTTCAAAAATTACGCGGACTTGCTGCACAGAAAAAATATTTGACGACATAATCGGGCAAAATGTCGCACATAATATAAAAGAATCCTTACTTATATGGTCTACAAAATTTCATATCAAAATGTTATAAATTGGTATCAATTTTGAGTGATTTTTCAGGACATATCATTAAGTCACGGAGCAGCAAAATCTTCGACGTCACAGACATTATAAAAAAATATGTGATTGAGCTTTCATTTTCTCAACATTTTCCCAAGAGTACCTGTACAGTTTCAGTTATCTTATCTACTCAACATCCAAACACCATTTCTTGTCGAGTTTTAAATCTATCAAACAAGTATAGAATATTCTTTTTTTGTTTTAAAACCAAAAACTGCAGCTATTTATGAGATATAGTGTGATATTGGTGACTCTCAATCACGTTCTTTACAGTCCGGATAAAGTTTTCGTCGATAATCTTCTTCCCATCCTCCAGTATAGCCATTTTACAGAGGTTTAACGGTCTAAAATTCCTATTTGCTATTTGTGGACGAATGAAAGTTTACTACATGTTTTATTATGCATATTTTGGATCTATGTTGCCGATATCTCGAGCATTACACATAATTTAACAAAAGTGTGGTGCGCCGTCAATTCACCAGACGTCATTTTCACAGTCGTTTTCACGGGAATCGCATCAGAGGAAAATAACTATATTTCTCTTAGTACTTCAAATATCACGTCAGAAATCCAAATACATAATAACAGAACAATTTAAAGATACATTTGAGAAAATTGTCGAAAAATATTGCGAATTATAGAAAATAAATGAGCTATATTTTGGATTCCGCATGCTTTTTCTTCAAATTTTTTGTCGTGCTCCGTACCTCTCCATCAGCGATATCAACATACCGATAATTTTAGTAGAATTTTTTTATAATACAGAAATTTTGCCCAAAATTTATTGGAATCTTTGAGATACATATTTCTGTGAAATTTCATAACTCTTTGACGTCTGTAAGAGTAAATAATAACACAGTCCGCGTAATTTTTGAACGGCCCTCGTACATGCCAAGTTTTGGAAATATTTACTGTCTAGATATTTTAAGAGACCATCTAAAAATACACGTACATTTACTATAGGATCATATAGGAAAGTGCTAATTTTTCGCACGTTTTAGCAAAATGCACAAATACAACAAAATTTTTTGCTTAATAATGAGAAATACTTTAATGTACATTATATGCAAGAAACACAAAATTTAACTGTGTTCTTTCCAAAGGGGGGTATCTCAAAACATGAATCTATCCATTAGTCGAAAAGTTGTTTTAAAATCAGTTATATATAATTATATTTATATTAAGTGTAATTTTCTGCATGAAATAACAAACAAATCCCTAAAACACACCCGGATCCTTGTTAACGCAAGTTAGAATACACCGTAGAAACTATATGCGTTTTCGGTAATCTTGAAGATGTACAATGTTCTTGCTCAATTTTATTAAATGTACATTTATATTTTATAAATAATTTTATGGCACATCTTTGTAGCAAAAGGGGGATAACTCTAACATTACATTTCACAGAAATGTAGGTTTGATAACTTGGTATGACTTGACGCGCAGTGCGCACCTCCGGAAATACGTCATAAAAACCATCCCAAGTAAGGGCTCCATGCAAAATCACCACATGTACTATCGACTTGATTTTACAAAACCCAACCCAGCCTCCCCTTTTAAGTCTTCATTTTAATACAGATAGCCTTTTAGCCAACGTCAAAGGTTTATGGATAGGTTCCCCCCCCCCATCTTTGATGGTTGTAGCATTTTTCACATTATCTAATTTTGAAAAGTGTTTAAATTTGAAGTTGATGTGTATATGGTTGCTTTCAATTCTAATTTGTCACATATGTTATATTAGTGATCATACATTTTATCATACACGATTATGATTATGGGTTAGAATGATTATGATTTTGACACTTCTTGGAACTGATCTATAATTACTGATTAGAAAGATTGACTTATTGTGATTGATTATATCAATTGATTGTGAATTTTGATTTTGAATTGAATGATTATGAATTATTGATCTGACTAATTATGATTGATTAGATTGATTGTGAGTTTTGTCTTCGTCATTTTGATAAATGACAATTTTCAATTCAATACATTTTCTATTGTATATTCTATCAACCATCAAACAAAGCACAACATTCAGAAATTGTGCCATAAAAACTATAAACCTGTTAAATTAACGTAGAAATACAACCACGTGCATTTAAAATTAATCTGTCTTTTTTTTCCTTGCAATGTTTGTTTGGGTTATTTAATGTTTCAACGTCACAATCGGTTCTTACGTAGATTACACACATCAATTTTGAATAGTTCTAAATTCACATCAAAGATTATCGATGTGTTGACCCATAATATTTTAATAATAACATGACGATGAGGAGCATTGTCTATGTTTTCCTTCTTTTTTACTTATTTATTTATTTATTTATTTTTTGGAATGACCCTTGTAGTTATTTCATTAATATAGATTAGTTTACGTCTGATATAAAAGGGTAATTAATCTAAATAAACTTAAAAATTTCTTTTTCCTATCTTTGAAAAAAAAACTGGAGCTGTAGACGAACACGCTTCACGATTCCTAACATTCAACGATCCATAAGCCCGTAGAAATGAAAGCATGATACCTCTTTTCTCAAAACCAGATGTGATTAGTTCAACATTTTGACATGTCATAAAAAGGGCCAAATAGCTTGGTTCACTTTATGCATAAAACGGCCCTGTAGTTATACCAATATATATAGACTAACAGTTTATGTTCAGTTTTAAACATAAAAATAAACTAGACATCCAGTACTTTCATTTCCTTTTTAAATGTTTCTCCTTAAACTTAATCTATCATTGATTGTTTATTGTAGACCAGAGATTGTGCTTAATATTACATATGCAAAAATAGCTTTAAAAATGGGGGGGTTTTTTGTAGACTTTTTTTAAAGAATATGAGGAAATTGACGCATTTCGTGAGGTCATAACACATTGACGAGCCAGATAATTACGTCATTTTTGAAAGACATGCTAAATTACTAAATGTATGAATGATATTTATTCCATTGTTAACTACATTGTAAAATGACGAAGTTTCGGGTTTTTTTTTTTTCAGAAATTCACAGGCCAAAAATTGCAATAAGCAGTCTTGTTCCTAAGTGAGGTTGAACGATTAGTATTGAACTAAATTCCTACTTACCAATCCATAAATTCCCGTCCGGCGATCCAAACCCCTCTCCATATGTCTGCCAATCCCTATCAAAACTCACTGCGTCACTGATCCGTTTCTGAATTACCTTTAAAAAGTTTTTTTTTAATCATTGAGATTAATTGTTTGATTAAAGCAATATGTTTACATATAATTTTTCAATTATAATCACTTGAACAACAAATCCATAAATTCTATGAAACATGTAATATAGGGACAGCTGACTTGTTTTTGTGACGTACAATCTTCCTTTTTCAGGGGAAGAGAAAACCTAATATAGAAAACATAATATTAAGCCAATGCTAGTGTAATAAGACCGTTCATTCAATACAAAAGATACAACTGAAAGATAATTGAAATGTCGCAAAAGTGCATCTGCAATTCAGTCGGCTGGATGATAACTGAAAGATCATGATCACAGAAAAGTGGCGGAAAATTCTGTGATTTTTTCAGTGAGCATTCATTGGGCATTCAATTATTATTTCGTACAATGAAATCCTGACGATTTTGAAATATTAAGTACGTACTGTCCATCCGCCTCCCATTGTGTCCATATCACAATAGACTGGGGCAGGAGTTTAGATGTCACCATATGGATATATATTATATACATCAGAGTTTGTTTGACCATTTTCATGTAAATCCTTACAATCCTTTGGAAGAACTAAGCAAGAATAAGAATGAATTTGCAAGATTCAATAGGTAAATAAACACATTTTTTTCACTTTCTGGAATTTGATTTATTACGATCAATGAATATAATAAATGTTAAATAGTATTTTAAAAACTTGATAAAAAGTTCAATTAATAAACATCAGTTTATTTTTCATGCTTGAAATATGATATCAGCAAATAATAATCAAGCACTGAAGTCCATTCGATCTATAAAAAATAGATCAGAGAAAACATGGACATCTAAAACCATCAACGTGTATAATAGGTGTCATATACATGTGTATTATCATTTCTATTTGTTTTTCTGCGATAACTCTTTGAAAGTTTCTTGATAATTGAATCTGCATGGAAACTTCGCCAAACATCTTCTCTAGGCAAAGGTTTTCGGTCCGCAACGCTCCCCATAAACCCTTGGCCGATATGCACTGTAAAACGCCGGTCACACATAGCGCCATCTGTAAATTCTTCAGAAAGACCGATAATTCTGGTTGAAGCAAACAGCCAATGAAATGATAGCTTTTATGTATGCTTCGGTAGAAAATTATACACAATATGGCGATTTCTATTGAAACAACATTTGGAATACAAAAATTTAAATTCTTTCCAACAAGAAGAGATACATGCTTTAACGGACAGACGTGGTGTGTTCATAGGAACGAAAACAGGTTTAAACATGCGTAATAATTTCCTCGAAAACTTCTCAAAAGTTCTAGGCCGTAAATTGAAAACAATTTTTTCAATGGTCCACGGTCGGCTAGCGTTTTCCAATGCATATGGACAAAGAGTTTATGGGGAGTGTTGCGGACCGAAAACCCTTGGCTATTGAAGATGTTCGCCAAGTGAAGGCTGGGAAGCTAAGAAGGCACAAAATGCATGTACATCTCTGTCTTTGTGTCTGACGTCAGTGGGCGGGGACAAATGAAATTGACATGGAAAGCATCGTTTAATTTAAACATATAACTTTTTAAAAAATCTTAATTAACTATTCTATTTCACAATGAAAGGAAATAAATGTGTAAGGAATCGTTGTATATTTTGCTGTCAGGAAAATAACGATGGCTGGAAACGTTGGATAATTTATGTATAACGAACTACTCCCATTATGCAAATTATTTCACGTATCCAACAACTGTTGATGCCTTGTCATACCCAACAAACTAGAATGCGATTCACCAAACATTCTCAATGGGAGAGGGCTAAGTCAGAATCTCTCTCTTCCTCTCTTTCTCTCTAGCTCTATCACCAAATTACGTCCCTACCCCACTGCCCATTCAAGACAACAAGTATATGACAGTTTAAATAGCTTTAATCCAACTTAAACCTCGGCTATTTACACGGTATGAAACCCGATACTTCGAAACCTGGAATAATTTGCATAATGAGCGATTTTTTTTTATTTAAAAAAAAACACTATTGCATAATGACTGTCTTAGATGCATGACAGTCTATAAACTTTTGAGGTCAAAAACGCATTGGCCATCTTGGAATAATAATAAATGGAAAAAATGTGCTGCGAATACTTACCTTATGCGAGATTCAAGAACAGGGGGATTCTCATCCACATCGAATGTTAAACAGTTATAGTTACGGGTGTGATCGATTTTTTTTCTCTCTTTCATTATATTTGTAAATAATAAAATCTTATACCAATTCAGCTCGACCAAAAACTAACTGGGTTTATTTATTTATTATTATTTTGCTATATTATAATTTAAATAAGTAACTTTTATCCACGTTGTCAATTAAATATATGGAGAAATGAAATATGTTTGCTAATAATGACATTGTAGAAATAGACAGCTTACCCTCACAATCGTAACCAATATAACCAGGGGCACAACTACAAACGTATCCTTTTACTCTCTACTGGTCTTTTTCGCATGTGCCTCCATTTTGGCATTCGCCGTTTTCACATACTTTGACTTCAGAAACAGAAAAATCTTATTCACATACAAATGGTCTTCGAGAGTTAAGAATTCAAATCATAGTTTTTACCCAAAAAATGGGTTTTGATTTATATTTGTATATCTATATCAATTAAACACATTTTGAACGTTAAAGAAGACTTATTAGAGACTCTTTGGGCTGAATAATAAGCATTTTACCTTCGCAATTTTCTCCGACATAACCTATGTTGCAACGGCATTTGTATCCTCGTACTCTAGCCAGGTCCGCCTCACAACTGCCTCCATTATTACAATAGGTGATGTTACATGCATCGGCTATAGAAACACATATCTAAGTCCCGTTTTGCACATCAACATTCTTATACAGTTGATGTGGACAATGCATATAGATATTAATTCAATAAATTGTTTAACAAACAAACCTAAAACAGCCCATCATTACCGGATGCAGTTGCTTTTATAAACTTCGAAAGTAGTGGACAGATTACCTTCACAATTATGTCCAACATATCCAAGAGTGCAGTTACACATGTATCCTCGTGTTCTGGATTTGTCTGCCCTACAATTCCCATTCTGACAGTCATGGTTGTCACATGCATTAACTGCAAGAAAAAGTACTAGCATTGAAATGATTTGATAACTTTCTGAATATGAACTGCAAATTCAAGAAATGTGTATGACGACTCGATTCAACAACAGAAATACAGTAAAACTCGTTTAGTACAAACACGGATAAAGCAAAGTCATCTTGGATCCCCAGCTATATAAATTTCATGAGTTTCATATACGGTTATAACGAATTACGGATATACCGAAGTAATTTCATAGTTTCCAGCGACTTCGTTATAACCGAGTTTTGCTGTAAAGGTCTGAATTTCCAGATATAGAAGTTTTAAAATACAGGAACATGCTAACATCAATTCTTACCCATTTAATTTCAATAAAGATGGAGAATGTTTTCGATTTTTTCTTGGAGGTTGGAGGTTACCAGGAAATCAAATTGCCACATTTATACTTTTTCCCACTGGGCCCATTAAATCTTTTTCATTTTTTTTTTAAGAATCTCCAAAAAATTTAGTAGAAACTTTTTTTTCAAAAAGAAAATCAATGATGAATGCAATATGTTTGAAATACACAATTATATTTGTGAAAAATCATTTGGAATCAATATAACTGAAAAAAAAATTATTGACAATAAATGCTTTTGAAAAAAATAGGTAATTTTCATCCTGTCCTAACATTTTTTTTTTCATTCACATTTCTCTATTACTTTGAGATATGTGATTGATTTTGTAATCAAACCTTATGCATGTTTATTACAATTGGCAACTCTGATAGAGGTAAACTTATTTTTTTGCTATAATTTGCTTCAAATTTCTGCTTAACATTGCTTTATTTTTAATACGTTAACCATAGAATTGCTTTTCTTAATAAACTGGTTTGAGATATCCTATTCACTTGCAGTTATAGTCCACGAAGATGAGACAGTGGACATCTTCGTCACCGACGGACGAATAACTGAACTAGTATATGTGTGTTGGTACTTATCTTGTTTCGTTATACAGTTTTTTGCGATACATGTAATTGTTGAATAAAAGTGGTAAAAATATGCAATTATTGTTAAATTTAAGGCTAGTAACTCAGTTAATGCCCTTTTAATATAATCATCATATCTCTGAGTAATTGTAGACTTTTCCATCACATTTGGTAACTGTGTGACTAATACTTTGCAGGTTGCAAATATATATAGCTCATAATACAATGTTTGAGCAAATAAAGGGCAATAATTGTGTCTCAGGCATTGAAGCCACAACAGATTTGATGCTATCATACATTTTCTCAGTACAAATGTAATTAGGGGGTATACCTTACCAAATATCACTATAAAGTTTATTCACCCAAAATGGTACCGTCCACCCCTAGTGGCTCATGGACTAAAGGTTTGTGAAGGGCGATACAATAGAAAAAAGTAAAACTTACCTTCAAATCCACTGTTTTCTCGTTCTTTTATGTTCTCTCCTAATCAAATATTCATGAGAGAAATTATCAGTTAATTTTCTTATGTTAAAAATGCATATGTTAAAAATACATATTAAAGTCTAGATTTTGAAAAAATATAAACATTATAAAATGTTTTCACTACATTGTCCCAAAGATAAAATATTTGACCAGCCATTAATTATGTGGATAGCTATGATATTACATTAGATTACAGAAAAAGTTCCGTTCGATATTTGCAAAAAAGGATCAAAAGCTATGTATACTCACCGTCAATAGAAACGCAACACCCTAATTTAAGGGGTGAAAATTATGTACGGGATATAACTATGTACCAAAAAAGTTAGGACATCTTTTACTTTGCCAAATCAGTTATTTAACGGTTGAATGATTTTCATTTCATTACCGGAAGTTGAGTTTTAGCCCCCTGACCAAAAATCAAAAATTATTGACAATATTTTGGGTTTTCAAGGTTTTGTACCTGTTAATCATAAGTCTTGTACTAAAATTCCGGAAAAAAATATCCTTCTTTCTTTTCCGGATGTGATGCCTGTATTTCCTCAAAGTAACTGAAAGCACGCATTTTCATTGCTAATGTTGGAAATTCTCAAAATAGAGAAAAGGGAGAGCTATAGATGCAAATATACACTACATAACGACTTTTCGGGCTCATGTGTTTCAAAAGCATGAATGACAGTTCCTTGACCGGAAGTCCAAGGGTTACACTACGCCAAGTTAGAGAAAATTCGACCTCAGTATCTGAAAAACAGGTATTTAAAGATGCACAAGAATATTTATTTTGCTCAGGTTAAGACATTGATAAACCTACTGCATGGTAGAATTCGGGCTGTGTTTGTTGTACATGGCGGACTAGGACGTTTAAATTGAATGGTCGGAAGGGGGGATGTTTTAAAAGTTATTTGTTACTTTCTAAGGTCTAAAGATAAGATTTAAAGTTTAGATAAACTATCATTGTTTTGTAAATTTACTTTTTACATTTATGTATTCATTCTTAATCTTATCTTTAAACCTTATAAAGATTTTTTAAAATTTCATATTGAAACATGTTTTAATTTTGATCTGCTTGACTTCCACAACATTTAAGTAAAACATTGACTTAAGTTTAAGATGTTTCATGATCCTGGGGCCAGGACAATATACTTAAGTGTACAGTGTAAACATTTTTTATATAATTTTCCTATTTAGCACTTTAATCCTCTATTATGGCACTATTTTTTCGGAGGTTTTCATTTGAATAAACTTACATTACCTGAGGATGATTGCGTTTATATATTGCGTGATTTGAAAAGATTTTAAAGAATCTATTTCTGTATCATATATATATACATACATGCATATGTTAAAAATCTTGAACCTTATTGTAGCCCAACCTTTTCCTTGATTATTGATATACCCTATCCTCAAAAGTTAACAAAGGTTATCACAACTCACGGCTTGATTGCAAACTCACCTCAAATATGTCTTAGTCCACACCAATAAAATTTCTTGTTTGTCGGACCCGCCCGCTCGTATTTTAGAGAAACGTAAAAAATAATATTATTTTAAATTTCCTGCTTCCGGAAATTTCCGTTCTATTTCCCGCCAGTTGAACCACAGAGCATGCAAGTTGTAGGTAAAACCGTTTCCATCTTAGACAATTCTTCAACAGATTCCATGTTTACGTGTACTAATTCCAAGCTGTCGTGAATTAGCCAGAATATATTTAAACATCTTTGATACCTTATTTTAAAACATATATCACTATTGGCATTAAAATGATAAATAGTAATATCAACTTTCTTAGTTGAATCTGATTGGTCGAGAAAAAAAAAACACTACTAGTTTTGATTTTTAATGATATTTTCTCATTTTATTACTGATAATCAACCTTGTTATTTTGCGTTCTATGCCAATTATTTTTTTATTATGTATTTGTCAGTTACTATATGTTGTAATTGACCAGTTTTATTTGATTGTTCACAGTCTTGATCACATCACATTTTGTTAACACTGTTTTCAAATAGATGTAAAAGATGGAGGTAACAAACAATTTTTAACAGTGATAAATGTACATGTATTAAACCAAGCAAATCTTGTACAGGACAAAAACATGGATCCCAGAAAACACCAAAGGTTTGGGGTGCATAGGAGAGTTAATATTCTATATTATTTGGAGATTTATTTACAGAATTTTGTACCTTTATGAAACGAGGAACGTACCAAAATGCCCTAATGATACTCTAAACATTGGAATATTGAATGTCTTACATGATCAGGGCAATTGGAAAAGATTTGGTAATGATTTTCCCTAGAAATGTAAAGGAAAACAAAAAATATATAATCGCCCGCTACGTTGTTTTACTCCACCGCCTGGAAATTTTGTTGATTAAAAATTTAATATTATAATTATCAAATCGCTCGCTCGCCCGTATTTTTGGGGGTCAGTTGTCCGAAGAAAAAGAAATTTTATTGGTGTGGCCTTATATTTATCAATTCAAGAACCATTCAGTAAAAAAAAAGTTCAATGCATATCAAAAAGTATGAAAGTTATAACTAAAACATAGGGCTTTAAGCACGTTTAATCTTATCATTGACTTGCTCAAAGCACAATATTTCTATTGTTTATTTTTTTAATAAAAATTTCTTCATCCTCTGCTCTCTACCATACTTAATTGTTATCAAACATTTTGTTTGTTCTCTCTGATTTTATGACTTCCTTACTTTTTTCTTTGTCCCCAGGAAAGGACAGTTTGTCCCTAAAGTTTGACAATTTCTATTGTTCATGTCGTTGGTCATTTTTATTTGGTGCGGCACATAAAGTATGAATTTACAGGTGAGTTTCGATCCCTCGAAGTTCAAAGGATCGCAGAAAAAGTTCGGCAGATCAAGGGGTTCGAGAAATAGAAAGCAAATAGAATCCGGAATATACAGTTTCGATCATTAATGTTCTACTATTAAAGATACCGGAAGAATATGTTAATATAGTCGTTGCAAGTTTTCAATTATATTTACAGGAAATATTCTTTATATTAACAAGAATGATCGAGCTTTGAATGAATAAAACAATGTCCGAAAGTCTTGTGCATTGTTTGCCATACTGGGATTATGTAGACTCTTATAAAAATTCAAAGTCTATTGAAACGTATTGATACGAACGTCTATAACGAAGTTATTTTCTAAAAATTATCCTCTCGATTTCAAATCAAAATAAGTTGCGAATTCGCTTATAATTTACACATTTTATAATAAGCAATTAATTATATCAACATTAGGACCACCCATGGGTGTAGTGTCATTTATGTAAACTTCCAAGCCAGCCTCTGAAGTTCACTTTTGTCCAAGTAAGTTCAGACTGCATTTATTGTACAATTAATTGCCGTTTATACACGCGCAATCAAAACTTCGAGAAATAGAGAGTAAAAAACAATGAAATATGTGTAACGAGACCAATGTCTTGTATAGAGAGATAGAGAACTTTAAAAAGATATAGAAGTTCGAGGGATGTGAAGTAAACCGAGAAATCAAAAACAATTTCAAGCCATCGAGAGTGAATGTGAAACATTGCATTTTATTATGATTGCTCTCAAAAATATTTCATTTGTAA